AAATCTCATTGCTTTTGAAAACGCAAACGCATGTGGTGTGCTGTGCTGGCTGAAGCAGCAGGCTTCAGATCGCTTTATCTCTTATCAGTGGCTTGGCTTTGTGCATGAGAAATTCAGAGGCAACTGTATAATTTTAAATTCCGATTACCACAAAGAAAGAGATGCATCTGACATCCCAATGCTGTAGCTTTGACTATTTTAATGGAAATATGTTGGAACTAGAGAAACCTTCCACCAAGGAGACAGCGATGAAAGACCACAAGAGAGACATTTTATGTTTGAGATAAAAGGCCTGTTTTCGAAGGTTGTTTCTTTTATTTTAACTTTTTCCTGATCTGCTACTAGGGCACCATGCAAATGTATCATTCCAGGAGTTGTTTCCTTATCCTTTTTGTGCCTAAAATTTCTTTGGACGGGGGAAGAGGGAGAACTGGTCTTGTTTAATGAAATTTTTGACCTTTAATAGAGCCTTGAAACATTGGTATGGATCTGTTTACCTCTTTGGTCCAAACCTCATGCTACTTTTGGCCTAAAATAAACAAAGAAAGATCCTCTGATTTAGATGCTGCTAAGGGCAGTGTTGCCAATTTAATTTTATTTCAGCTGTTTCCAAATAAATGGCCGAGGGATTCCCTTAAGTGGCTTTGAGTAGGGTCTGGTAAATGGGGGTCATTTACATTAAAAAAAAATCCTTCCTCCTTATCATGAATACTGATACTTCCAAAGAGTCATCCATAGCTGATACTTTTTTGTTGTTGTTTTTTAAACTTCTTATTGAATATGAAGTCCTGGATGAACAAAAGGGATGTTGACCGAAGGGACAAATGTCTGACAGGAAGCTGCCTGACCACACGGAAGCAGAGATGTCAACAATATTTCTTTTCAAAATATGTCTTTTTTTGTTGTTGTTGTTTGCATTCCTTCTACACCACGGAACAAAGACCCAGCTTCTTAGAAATAAAACCAAACTGGTATCCATCTGGTTCCTCCCAGAATCATCTTGATGAAAAGAATTTTACTGTATTTTTCTGTTCCCATGTATTTTAAGATGCTTTTTCCAATACTTCCAATTATTTATTGTTCCCACTAACCCTTCAAGCCTGGTGTGGCTCGAACAATAAGTAGAGTGGCAGTGTTGATAACTGAAGTGATGGAGGAGAAATAGACATGCTAAGTCAAAAATATTCTCCAGAGGACCATGGAGTGGGCATCCCTCTGGACTATGGGAGGGTGAGGTGGAAAACTTTATATGAATATGGACAGCAGAATAGTCTCTACAAGAAAGAGATTCTCAGGGTAAACCATAGGGTCCCCTACTTCACTTCTCATTACACAGTGATGCTGGACTGCAGGACCTGGTATGTGTCTATCCATGAAGGGTCTTGGAAGATCACAACTTTCCTTTTCCACTAGGCTTCCCTAATTCCATCCTCCCTGTTCCCAGGAATCTTCTGAGCCTCTGTTTCTCTGGCAGGTGAATCGCTTACTTCCACATGGCTTGGAAAGCAGGCTTTCCATATGTAGGGTAAGGAAGGACTTCCTTCCTGAAACACTTTGCCAAGTAACTACATTCCCAAGCCTACATGGAAACGTAAGCTTACTCCCTGCTGTTGGGAAATGTGCTTTCTTTCCTGCCCTCTCGAACGCATACCACAAAAACCTCTAGGTCAGGGGTCAGCAAACTTTGTAAAGGACTAAATAGTATTCTATGCTTTGTGGGCTACATAGTCTCTGACACAGCTACTTGACCCTGCTGCTGTAGTGTAAAATCAGAAAACATGTAAATGAATGTATGTGGCTATATGACAATAAAACTTTATTGACAGGAAAAGGTGGTGAGTCAGATTTGGTTTCTCAGTGGTAGTTTGCTGACCTCTGCTCTAGGGTCACACCTCAAGCAAACTTTGGTCTACGGTTGCTGGATATGCTATGAAAACTATCCATAGAGAAAATGACCTAAAGGATGATCAAAGCCACTTCAAGTTTATAACATTTATACCTTGGATAACATAACAATTATAAAGCCATATGTCAGGCTTTTACCTTGGTAGATGTCACCATAAGGGCTTTTGAAAGCCTCTGTGATACTTGAATAGTTTCCTAAGACTTCTATGAATTCTTGAGCAGATATCAAATAGAAGTAAATGTCGAACATATTTGGAAATCAGTTTTTAATTTGTAAAAATCTTCTGAACAATATTAACATACTAGAACTTCTAGTATATTGAAGGTTCATTTGAACTCTTTGTTATGATACCGTCTGTTTAATATACCCAAAGGTGTGATTGTCTAGAAAATATCACATATAAAGATTAGAAAGAATCTCATTTTTTAAAAAGTCGGTGTTAGTAGATTTTAATGTAAAAGCTTTTCTTCCCACCCAAGAATTCAGGTAAAAATTTTTTCTCATGACCATGGGCAAATATTCTAGTTTGAGGGTGTTGGGTAAAAAGATGTACATTGAGAAACTTAGAATGCATTTTACTACCAATTTCTGAAATCTGAACTGAAATACATAATTTAAGCCATACCAAATTTCCTGCTTATTACTTTGTATATTGTGGTCACTTAGCATAAATGAAAAATAGAATTTTATCATATCTGTTCCCGATAGGTACTTGATTTATACTGTTGATTGTTCTTATTTTTATTCTATTTGTGATCTCATTACCCTTAGGATAAGATTTTGCATGTGGAATCACACCAGTCTTTTTCATTGGCATAAAACTTCTGGTGCTAATCTCATTCTTTCATGTAGTGTTTAGAACAAAATCTAAGGAAAATGTTCTGGGAACCTTTTGCTCTTTTGTCATCCAAAGATAATGAACTTGAGATGGCAAAATGCAAAGAGTGTCTACTTAAAATCACCTGTCTTAACCTGTCTAGCCACAAACGACTTCGTAGCTATTATTGTCTATCTGAATGATATGGGGAAGTTGATCCTAGTAGCCAAGGAGGGCCTTTCCTGGCTTGGAAAAACCCTGTATTGATACATACAGATTCTGGCAGCATGGCCCTGTGGGTTATTAATTCTACTGATCCAGAGTAATCTGATGTCTTTTATGGTTTTCCTTTTTAGACCCTAGTGCTGCAAACCAACCAATCACTGGGTCTCACCCTAAGAATGACCAGCCCAACTCCCTGGATGAAATACTGAGCGAGAGTGCTTGGAGTGAGTTTGGGGTCTGGATGCCAGCAACATCACTGGTTCATCACTGGCCAGGCTAGGACCCATCCCCCATCTCCCATGATCTACTTGTAAGTGACTGAGCAACACACAGCTTGCTTTTACATCCGTGTGTGTAAATCTCAGCCTGATGCTTGAGTGTCATCTCAAAAAAATATCAGATCTTTTATTTATCTCCTATACAAAACTCCCCTTGCTTGTAAAGTAAGAAAAATTAAAACCTCATTGAGGGAAAAGAAAAACAAACCCAAATGCCACCCAGGCCTACAAATACGATTTCATTTAGACTTGCGGGCCCACTGCTTTCCAAATGGCATCCAGGGCTGTCTAAGCCAGCGATGAGTTCATTCTGGGCTCCTGAGAGTCCTCATCTGCCAACCATTTGGTTTATCTATCAGCTTTTCAGATGTCCAGTCATAACTAAGTCACTCTCCTCCAATCTCCCAAAATAAACTATAGGTAACAAGATAAATTAGATGTGCTTCTCCTTGCTGAGTGCATTGACTTAAGGCATAGGCACATTTCCTCCTCTTTGAACAGAGATGGTGTAATCCCCTGTCCCAGCACAAGAGCTGGCCAGGGTGACCCTGGAGCATGATGATGAAGGTGGGGTGATGAGAGGTAGCTGATGGCGGGAATTAGGGTGCTTCTTCCACATACAGGGGAGGAGGTACTGCTGGGCCCCCCAGGACACAGTGATTCTCATAAAGACACTTGACTCAGTTTATATGATCTTTCAGTGAGCAATTCTGGTGGCATGTAGTGCTTCTTAGAGAAAACACATTAGTGGATTTAGGAATATGAATATCCCAGGACAAATATAAGATCAAAGTCAGAGAGTTTGTGCATGCCTTTAAAAATAAAGGACATGTTTTGACATTACCCACCAATCCCAAGAAACATGGTAAACATAATTAGATTCCTTATGCTACTCTTAATTAGACATGCAGGCTTCTCCTGGAGTAGGAGTTCTGCTCTTGGGGATTTTGATTAACCTGATCATTGTGTGTTGAAATATACTGGATAAAGCCAGAAGTGGGAACAGAACAGCTTTTAAGCCATTTTTCCTTTAAACAGAGACCTATCAGCCATTTGTTCATTGCCTGTCAGGCCATTGAGTAGCTTCCAGCTGACTGAGGAGCAGCTGCTATCTTATTTTGTGCTGATTTACAGCTCCTAATTTGATTGTGGGAGAGTCTGGGAGTTTGAGGGAGCAAGACAGCAGAAGTTGGGTGAGTAGTTCAAAATGTGCTGAAATTCATCCTCCTCATTCATTCAACTACAAAAACCTCAATATGTTTGGCTGCCAAGGTAGGGCAGCCATTTTGGGTTCCCGTGGCTGACTTCTACAGCGTTGCCAGTCCCAACCTTGAAGAGGGGGAGGTTAGCTAGCTTTACTAAAGCTAAAACAGGAAACCAAATGCTTATTTTTGATACAAAGGTCTCAGAGCTTGAGTGTGACTTTGAGATTCCCGCCATCACTCCCTCGTAATGACACTAAAGGAGAAGATACGTTGCTGCTCGAACATCTAGAAGAAGATTCTGTCGGTGTTCAATATGCTGTGTGATTCTGAATAGTCTGGGGAATGTTGGGACGGATGTGTATTTAGATTTTTGTCACACAGGTGGTGGGGATGGGATGGAAAATGACAGTGGCTATCACAGGGTCACCCATGGTTCCTTTTGTACTGAAACCTCATTTTATACAGAGGATATATATATTTATTTATATATATTTATATATATTTATATCCACCCACATACGCAAACACACTCAAGCATACACACACACACACACACACACACACACACACANACACACACACACACACACACACACACACACGCATACACACACACAAAAGGTCTTTGATAGGCTTTCTGTGTTCTAGTAAAAATAGCTGGCAGCCAGTGTCTAAAGCCAAAAAAAGGCCTTGATGCTGCTGTCAATGTCCACTATGGATAGTCTTTCAGAGGCAGACACTTGTGTTTATCTGACAAGTGGACCCAGCTCCTGCCTGAGACAGGAATAATCTCCCATTGGCGCAGACGCAGATCTCGAAGACCTTCTGCCTCGTTCCTGTAGGTGTGTAGGATCCGTGAGGCAGTCTAGGTAGTTTGATTTTCGCAGCATCTAACTTAATCTAAAGAGAGAATAGGAAGGAAAGGATCAGAGGCTGTCGTTTCTTCTCTTGACATTCAGAAACAGCAAACGAATGTTCAATTCAACTTAAATCTAATGAGCACGGGTTATGTGTTGATTGTTTTTGGTACTGAGGATTTGGACATCAACAAGACAAAGTCTCTATCTTCACAGAAGCTTAAATTCTAGCAAGATACTGCTGCATTGGTTTATGTTAGCATTTTGTGAAATAATGTCATACAGATGTGAATGGAGTCCTACAGTTGAATAACCATGAAAATGCGGCATTTAACAATTTTCTTTACTATGGACTTCTGAGATCCTACTACGACTGTGTGCAAGGTGAGTGTTCAAGAAGAGAATAGAGTAGGTAACATTTTCTAACTTTTAAATGCTAGTGAGCCTTTCTGCTTTTTTTCTTTTTCTAACAATTTATGGGGCTGATAGTCTATAGAATATACTTTGAGAAGAACATGCCTATAAAAATAAGCAGTGGTGGAAGATGCCATTAGATTTATGATTATAACTGATTCCTCCAGAGTTCAAATTCTGATAGCTATAAACTGCATATGCGAGGTAGTCACTATTTTTATATGTGTGGTTTGCAGTTTGTGGTTGCTTGAAGAGGCAGTTTTGATAATGGAATGCTCTGTCTCTTCTAAAACAAAATAGCAAATGCCATACCAATCAAAAAGGGGACTTTTATGTCCATAGAGTGGATGTACAGAAGCAGGTAGAGACTGATAACCACTCTCATTGAATAGTCAGGTGGAACAGCATTTTTCTTATAAAAAAAAAAAAAAACAACCCAGAGTTTTTACTCTTATTATTATGATTAGGTAGCAGAGTTCACTTTGGAACACTTTGAAGGCATTTTTAAAAGTTTACAGACAAATCATATTTTGGGGGTGGGTGGCAATTAGGTTGTCTTGCTTGCAAAAAAAAAAAAAAAAAAAAAAAAAAAAAAAACAAAAAAAAACAGCATGAAAGACAGAGAAAAAAAAAAAAAAAAAAAAATCAAAAAAAAAAAAAACAACCCAGAGTTTTTACTCTTATTATTATGATTAGGTAGCAGAGTTCACTTTGGAACACTTTGAAGGCATTTTTAAAAGTTTACAGACAAATCATATTTTGGGGGTGGGTGGCAATTAGGTTGTCTTGCTTGCAAAAACACAAGCAACATTTCTGTTCACCCAACTGTGACTGTGTGCCTAAGAGAATAAATACTGCACTGTTTCATTCCCTTGTTGCCTAGTTTTATCCTATTAAGTTTTGGCTTGTTCTGATTGGGACAGCTGTTCAATCTGCCTCCTCATTTCCAATGAAAACAGAAACATGTGACACAAAGTAACAACAAGTAAATTAAGTTCATCTTTAGCCAGATGTGTATAATATATATAGCTTAATTATGTTGACTATCAAAATCTTATTTTAAGGTGACAAGAGAGAATTTGAAAATGGCATTCATTTTTATGGTCATGTAATTCTGTACTTGGAATACATGCCATTATCTCTGCATTTTACAAATAAATCATCACTTTGATGGATTGTGGGTTTGGCTTGTAATCATGCCGTTCAGTTGATCATTTCAGAAATAAAACCTGCTTGGCTTCTTTTGTTGATCCAACTCTGAGGCCAACCAGTTATGGGAAGGGTTGGCCTGTTGGAGGGATGGGTTGGTCTATGGAGCTGTAGCTCTTTGAACGTCTGTCCTTCTCACCCCTCACCTCTCCGTCTTTGGATTCCAGTCTCAGCTCTGTCCTGCAGGTGGCTTCCATATTGCCAGCTTCTGCATTGATTTCTACTCCTTTTGGGGCCTCCATCACTAGAGACCGGGTTGGGGACTCCAACCTGAAAAACACACACGACCAACAGTAAAGATCCTTTTTTCTTTTTAATAAATACAAAAGGAAGTTTATGCTCCAGGACATTGACAGAGCATTTCAATATGTGATCAGAGAATTTTTTAAAGTTTTGCTTTACACACCTGGTCAAGTTTATGACAGGGAACAAAATAGGTCTAGACTTCATCTTCATTGCATTTTACAAAGGCTGTAAGGAAGGTGTTCTAGGATCCTGGTTTCAATTTATCTTATATCCAGTTGTTGTTTTATTGGTATAATTAATCAAACTCTCATATAAGCTTTTTTTTCCCTTCTTTTTTTGTAAGAGTAAGGCAATCCTGGATCTAAACTGAGCTTCCTGGAATTGGTAGGTATCCCTTCTACTTTGTCCTGCTTTTCTATCTTCCACAGAGGCAGAATCAGATAGGGGTTAAGAAAATGGGTCTAGGAGTCCCATGTGCTTGGAGTGAAGCCATGGGGTGGACACTGAATGACTGTGGGCAGTCTTTTTTGCTTGACCTCGTCTTTCCTTTCTAAAATTTCTTAAGGCCCCAGTTCCTCCTCTATAAAGTACTTCAAAAGTGCCTGACACAATAGAAATGCAAATATATGTTATATAATACTATTACTGCTGCTACTATTGTTATAATACCAGCAAATCATAATGAAGCCCTCAGGCCTTAACCTTCAGTGCAGCTGTCATTTCTGCATTGCAGACAGGGTCAGTGGTTGCCAGGGACTGGGGAATGGAGGCGGTCTGATTGTAAAGGGACAGCATAAGAAAAACATGTTTTGAGTGATGGAACTTGATGGCAAGGGTGGTGACAGGTCTCTGTGTATTTGTGAAAATTTTCAGATGAGTGAATTTTATGGTATGTAAGATAAAAAATAAATCGAGAGGGGAATCAGCCACATTCTATGCTAATTACGATGGCAAAACAGGATAATACTCCTCAGGAAGGTTTTTGCCTAATTCATATAATGAGAAAAACATTAAAACTCAACCATCCCCTAACTATTCTAGATTTTATTTTCATTTTTCTTAGAAACAGGGTCTCACCCTGTTGCTCAGGCTGTTACAGCTCACTGCTGTTTCAAATTCCTGTGCTTAAGTGATCCTCTCATCTCAGCCTCCTGAATAGCTGGGCATGTGCCACCATGTGCCATTAATTTTTAATTTTTTTGTAAAGATGGGGTTTTGCTGTATTGCCCAGGCTGGTCTCAGGTTCCTGGGCTCAAGTGATCTTCCCTCCTTGGCCTCTTTAAGCGCTGGGATTACAAGCATGAACCATCATACCCAATTGATTTTAATGCTATTACCAGATGGGAATGTATGAAGATCCTCCTCTGTTACAAAGAAAGTATCCTAACTTAGGAACAGAGACCTCAACAATGGTTCTCAAAACACTAGGATCCAGACCCATTCCCCGAGTTTAATTTCTGTGCTTCTGACTGTTAAAAAGAAACATCATTCTCCTTGCCCACTGCTGACTCTCTGTTCTGTTTTGTCATTGCCTCTGGGTAGGGTAAAGCCTCTTGGGCCTCAGTAAGCAGCCAACAAAGCAAGCTGACCAGTGAGACCCACCATGGAGCAACCCCCAGCCACATTATACAAACACCAAGAGAGAGCTCATCCACATTTCTGGGGTCAAGGTTCTTGAGGACTGCTTCCAGACAGCAGCCTTCTCCCTTGAGTTTTTTTGCTCTACAATGACTCAACTAAAAGTCAGCATGAGCAGCAACAGTCCTGGAGTATTTAGGAAAGGATTAGCCTGAGTTTCTTTGTAAAGAATTCTTTCTTCTGTGGTCTCGCTCCTTTGTGTGTGGCAAAAATCCTCCACTCCCCACCTCCGCTCCTCTGAAGACCTTCACCAGGTTGTGCTGGACCAGGTGCAGTTCTGCCCATTATTGTGGTTCACCTCATTGCACTTTGGTAATGTCAGTGCAACAGGGAGGGGGGGTCTTATTAGCAGAAGAAGATGGGCAACAGAAAGTGATGTCTGTGCGGTACGGCCTGGTCTAGAACCTTAATCCAACTCCGCGGAGCTGCCCTGTGCTCTTGACTCCCTCTCACTTTTGAGTTATGAAGATGGGTTTTGCCACTCTCTAATTTTTGTCTCCTATACAGCCTGGCTGATGTACACAGTTTATCCTAGGTTTTCTAAAAACTCATTCCATTTCCGCTAATGCTGATACCTTTCTCCTTGTAGCATGGGTTTGCACTCTTAAAATACTATCTGCACACCCCTTATCAGTGACACTGCCATCATCTCCTTCTCCAGGTGAGAGTCCTCCTGTCATCGTTTCTCTTTCTTCCTTTTTCCCTCCCTCCCTTATTTCATTAGTTAACTCAGCTTTTAAGTCAGAACTTCTCCATTCTCAGAATCAAGCCAGGGACTGGCCACTAAATGATCATGGGCAAATTTTTCTTCCTTTCCCTCCTCTTTTCTTCCAAAAATTTCGTACAATGATTCTCAAATGTGAGCATCAGAATCACTGGGAGGGCTTACGGAAGAGTCACCTCTAACCTGGACGATTGTAACTGTTCTCCCAAATTTTGTCTCTAATTTTTCCTTTTTCCCAATGAACTTCTCACAAAAAAATATCTTCCTGAAGTAAGTTTTGAATATATTACTTATCAAAACTTGTAGAATATGTTCTACAATTCCTTAGAAGAGATCTGAACTCCATTTGGAATTTGTTCTGATCTGTTTTGCTGGTCTTATTTCTTGCCATAAACATCAGTTATATTTTATTGAGAGTTTACTAGGTGGTGACACTGCTAAGGGGTTTACATGTGTTATCTCATTTAATCCTCACCAAAATCTATCAATCTGGTGTTTCTGTAGTGCTGATTATACAAACAAGGAATCAAAGGTACAGTGACTTGCTCATGGCTATACTTCTAGTAAAATGGCAGAATCAAGATTTGAAATTAGTTTAGCGGATTCTAGAGCCAATATTTGTTTACTATACCATATTAGTTCCAGAAAAACTGTATTTCTTTCCATGTGTCGTATCTTCACCCCTATTTTCTGTAATTCTTTTTTCAAGAAATTCTTATATTTATAAAACCAATCTATATAAAACAATAATGAGATAATAGTACTGTATATGGCTGAGTGATGCATACTTCATGTTATTCAGTATTTCTCATAACTTATTTAAATAGTCTACATCAGCAATATCAAATTTAGGATATGTGGAACATGTTCACACTTGGCACATAGAGTTCAAAGTGCATGATTCAGTATAAACACAATAGTTTGGGGAAAAAGAAAGCTTGAAACAGAAAAAAGTATGGAGCTTACAGAACTTGATCAGATGCAGGACTGACTGGCATTTCAGACAGGTATTAGAATTCCCTTTATACCTGCCTACTCCCTAGGCCTCTGCGATTAGCAGGAGGGACCCAGGCCAGAGAGACAGACTCAGAAATGACTCCTGCCTTTCCCCTCATCTCAGCCATGGAGGAACCAGGGTGCTGAGACAGAGGATGCTACTCTGAAAGTGTTGTATTGTGAAAGGCTGCAACACAACAGAGATGATGGTTTCCTGGAAGCAGAGACAAAAAAGGTAACAGGCTTTCTGTTGTATAGTCCAGCTTGATGTCCTTTGATGTTCAGGCAGACCTAACAGACTTTGTTCACATTCTAATCTTTCCACCGAGATGAAGCTCCTTGATATGGTTTGGCTGTGTCCCCACCCAAATGTCAGCTTATATTGTAGTTCCCATAATTCCCAAGTGTCATGGGAGAGGCTTGGTGGGAGGTAATTGAATCAGGGGATGGTTGCCCCCATGCTTTTCTCATGATAGTGAGTTCTCATGAGATCTGATGATTTTATAAGGGTCTTTCCCCCTTTGGTTGGTACTTCTCTTTCCTGCCACCTTGTGAAGAAGGTTTCTTGCTTCCCCTTAACCTTCTACCATGAATGTAAGTTTCCTGAGGCCTCCCTAGCCTTGGGGAACTGTGAGTCAACTAAACATCTTTTCTTTATAAATTACCCAGCCTCGGGCAGTTCTTTATAGCAGTATGAAAATGGACTAATACACCCCTACGAAAGCCTTGTGAAAACTGCAGAGAGCATCACTTCTAAAGTGATGTCCGTCAACCTCTGCCTGTAGATCGATAATCACAACACAATTGTTTAGATGGCATGTAGTAAGGAAAAATGGAAGAAGGTTTTCTCCTGATGGGGTGGCAATTAAGGGTCCTGCTGGCTCTTGGAAAAGAACACTACTTCCATTAGGAGAAAATGCAAGGTTCCTCTCAGAGGAGAAAGAAGAGCCTCACTAAAGAGATGCAGAAAGGAGGAGTGGCCAGGAAGTATGGGGGCCAGAGCTGGGCTGGGCCAGGCTGTGTCATGTCTTCTAGAAGAATGGTTCTAAAATGTGAGCATCAGGATCACCTGGTGGGCTTGTGAAAACAGTGCTGGGTCCTCTCCACAGTGGCTGATTCAGTAAGTCTAGAGGGGTGCCCGAACATCCACATTTGTAGCAAGTTCCCAGGTGATGCCGATGCTGCTTGTTTGGGAAGCCACACTTTCGGAAGCACTGCGCTAGTCCAAGGGTCATAAACTCAAGTGCCCCCCACAAAGACTAAATAGGCGATGACAATGAGTAATCCGTAAGAAAGCTATAAGTAAAATGCCATTCCCAGAACAGTAAATTGTGGTATGTGGCACTGGCCTAAATGTGAATGTGGTGGTAGAGATGCTGTCTACAGGGACAGCTGCTGTTCTATCTAACTTGGCCAGTGGTTGCCAAGGCTTCTGATTTTATTGCTTTCTAATTTAAAATGTTTTGATTTTTAATCTGAATTATTAAATTTTATGAATAGAGACAAAAGAATATGAAAGTATAAATACAGTATAAAGAATGACAATGGTGCCTGGGCACAGTGGCTCACACCTGTAATCCCAGTACTTTGGGAGGCCAAGGCGGGAGAATTACAAGGTAAGGAGTTCGAGACTAGCCTGACCAACATGGTAAAAGCCTGTCTCTAC